ATTTAGGCAGCCCAAAGATCTGTGGCAGAAAAACACTGAAAAGGACTCAGTGATACACTACATTTGCAACCTCTCATTTATACAAAAAGAAAAACAAGTTTCCAGTTTGTTTTCAACAAAACAACAAAGAAAAAAAAAAGGACAGACAAAAAGGCATGTATATTATACAAATCCAGGACAAGAAATCCAAAGAAACTTGCTTTTAATAATAATAAAAAAGATTAAAGAGATAAATAAAAAAAAACTGGTTACAGTTAAGAACATAATTTAACAGATGACCATACCCTTTGAGGAAGGCTCCAACAACCTATTTTAAAGAAGGTAAAATTTCAAAAAATTTTTTAAAAAGAGAAAATTTTTTTTTTTTTTAACGAAAACCTCTCCTTACTAAATAAATAATTTTAGCACGTGGAATGTCTTGAAGGTTCACTGCTGGTGTTGGGAGAGGCACAGGTGACAGCTTAAGGGAGAAGGCTCTAGCATCTGTGTCCCACTTGGGGCTCGAGCAGGCAACCAGGGGGCAGTGTGCTGGAGCACTTACTGGCTGCTGAAACATTCGCAGAACAGATTTCATCTCCTTTGCTTGGTTTTCACTTCTTTAAGATTGCAGCAAACAAGCAAATGCGGAAGGAAATGCACTAACAGAGAGTACAAGTATTTTCCAGCAGCACGGTTTTAAGGCTCAAGGTATTTTCTCTTGTTTAAAAAATATATATATGATAAAGCTTACCAAATGCTTCTCTAGACTACGGTTTACTTCCCTATTTGCAAAATAAGGCCTTTATTTTTCTTTCTAAGGCAGCTCCTCCTTGAATCAGAAAGCCTGAGGAATTAAGCAAAGCTAACCCCCAAAACTGATCACATAACACAAATTCGTGTTTTTTTTATGTTAATACAACACACACACTTTTTTTTTGTTTTTTTGTTTTTTGTTTTTTTTTTTTTTTTTGTTTTTTTTTTTGTAAGAGAAAGCTCATCTGTACAAAAATATTCTGGTTGCAGGAAAAGCTAGCGCACACTGTTCAACTAAGTAGTTTAGCTGTTGGAAAAATAAGAGCATTTAATTTCTTTATCTAAAAATATGTATAAATCCCCTCAAAATGGTAATGAATCATACACAGTACATACTAAAAATATTTAAAATAGAGAATATTCCTCACAGAGGACTTTTTTCTTTAATTACTGCTAAAAAATAATTACAAAGTCCAAACAGGCAGAGAGATTGAGCAAACTGGTGACACGACGATTCTCCATTATCCTCCATGCTTGCTTTCAAGACCGTTTTCAAGTTCGGGTCCTCCTGGATTCCGCCGGGTCCATCTGGCCACGAGGGTGGCCTGGCCACTTGCTTTGCAACAAAGTGGGAACGTGTTCGGATAGCCGATGTTTCCGTCTGGGAATCTGGGTACGAGTTGCCTTTAGCTTAAATGTCTTTAAGGAATAGGAAAAAAAAAATGTCCCAAGGAAATTGTGGCGGGTTCTTGCTTGTTTCGGTGCTCTTTTCCTAAAGGATCATCACACGCGGGCCTCCTCAAGGTCTGGTGAGCTGTGTGTAGACCGGCTGTTCCCAGTGCTGGGGGCTGTGGGTCTGCGGGATGGAGGGGACCCCGGAGGTGTCGGCGATGGGGGTGTACATGGGCCGCTGCGCGGGGTTCATGTAGGTGAAGGTCGAGTAGAGGCCGGAGCCCTGGCCCGCCGCGTGGCTGTAGTAGGAGCCGGAGTTCTGGTGGTCTGTGTAGTCGTACTGCGAGCGGGTGATGGGCGGGTACGAGGGGCTGTAGTGCGGGAGGTTGAAGGGGCTGTAGGCGATCTGCTGCGGCGAGTGCTGCTGCTGCTCGCTGTAGTGGCTGGGACTCAGCTGCTCCGTCTTGATGTGCGTTCGCTGCGACTGGCCCGGCTCGCTGCTCAGCGGGGTCAGCGTGTGCGCGGGCTGCGGCGGCTGGGGCGCCGGCTGCGGGGGCGGGGGCGCCGGCTGCGGTGGAGCCGGCTGGGCCTGAGGGGCCTGCGGGGGCTGCTGCGGCGGGGGCGGCGGCGGCGGCGGCGCCTGTTGCTTGGACATCCACACGTGGCCCGCGCCCGCCGGGGTCGCCGCCGTGCTGCTGATGCCGTAGCTGCCCGTGTAGGTGACCTGGCCGTGCGTGGCCGGCACCCCCGGGTGGCCATTGGGCGGCAGGTACTGGTCGAACTCGTTGACGTCGAAGGTCTCGATGTTGGAGATGACGTCGCTGCTCAGCTCTCCGATGTCCACGTCGCGGAAGTCGATGGGGGGCTGTCGGCCCCCCTCTGGCAGGGGGCGCCCCTCGCGCTTCAGGTCAGCCTTGCCCGGCTGCACGTCGGTTTTGGGGGTGGTGGGCGGCGTCGGCGGGCCCTGGGATTGCCCTGCGGGCGATCAAAGAGAAGAAGCCCAGAAGAGTCAACAAGGGCAGTGCAAGGGCCCTAATCTTAGGACCCCTCCTGGGATCCTCCCTCCGAGCTAAAGTGTCAGAAGGACCCGCAACCGCGCGGGAGGCGCGCTGCACCCGAGATAAGTCGCCAAATGATTAACCCGCCAGTACACATTCGGCGATCTCCTTTTATGGGGGGCAGGGAGGGTCTGAGGCCCGGAGGGTCAGGAGGACCGGATTGCTACTTGTGGAAGAACCCGGTGTGTGCTCTTGGGGTGGTGGGGCGAGAGAAGGAGGAAGTCCTGTAAAGCTGTAAAGGCATTTTACCTCGCAATAAAAATTAATCTGCTAGGATGTAGGGATTGAGGGATGTGTGTGTGTGTGTGTGTGTGTGTGTGTGTGTGTGTGTGTGTGTGGACTTCACGTGGGCCCTAGGCTGAGAGGAGGGTAGGATTAGGCGCTAGGGGTAGTTTTTCCCTCCCGGGGAGCGCAAAGTCCCTAAGCAGAGCCTACTCGGTGGAGACCTGGGGGTGTGCAGTGGGGCCCCTGGGAGGCCCAGTCTGGCTGGGCCTGTTGGGGGGGGGACTCACCGGAGTGCTCCCCGGGGGAGTGCACCTCGCTCATGCCAGAGGAGGAGTGGGGCGAGTCCGCCTGCAGCGCCTTGAAGATGGCGTTGGGGGAGATGTGCGTCTGCTCCGTGGCCTCCTCGGCCTCCGCCTGGCCGTTCTTCACCGACTTCCTCCGCCGCGGCTGGTACTTGTAATCCGGGTGGTCCTTCTTGTGCTGCACGCGCAGCCGCTCCGCCTCCTCCACGAAGGGCCGCTTCTCGCTCTCGTTCAGCAGTCTGGGGGCGGGGGCGGGGGCGCAAGGAGAAACAGAGGGGGTTCTGTGAGACCCGCGGGGCTGTCAGGTCGGCGGGAGGGGGAGGTGACCCCGACCGCTCGGCTTCTGCGCACACAACCCGTTCCTCCCTCCTCCCTGCTTTCCAGCCCCTGCTGCAGCTCCTAACTTTTAAGTTAAGAAAGAAAGGAAGAAAGAAAGAAAGAAAAGAAAGAAAAAGCAAGAAAAGAAAAGAAGAGAAGAAAAGGAGAAGTGAAAAAAAAAGGAAAAATAAATCTCGGTTCTTTTAGTCGGACCTGAGCCGTCACTCCCCGCCCCGCCCTCGCTCCTTCTATTTTGGAAAACCCTGGAGATGAAAATAGCTCTCCGCTGCTCGGGATCTAAGTGCTTCTGCTACTGTAGTTAAAACGCCCCCCGCCCCCAACATCCTTAAAAGCTTTCCAAAAATCGCTTAATCGTCAAGGAGCTCCTCCTGCCCCCCCCCCACCTCGCGTCCACCTATTTCCAGCAGTAGCCCCCACCCCATTCCTGCTTGGAGTCTCCTCTGGCCTTGAAGTCTCCCCCCATCCCATCTCCTTGGTTTGTAGGGCTACACGAGAGAGCTCAGTTGGAGCGAAAGAGGGGCGAACTTCACTTCTCACCCAACCCCCAACTTGGGATCGAACTTCACAGCGACGGGAGATAGGGCTGGCAGCTCCCTCCCACCGTGTCTCCCAGTCTTCTCCCACCCTCTGGCTCTCTCAGCCCCCCCCCTCCCCCCCCCAGACCCATCCCCACAACCTCGCCACCCCCCGCCCCATCTCCCCCTCCCTCCCCCCCACAACCTCCCCCCCCCCCAGCCCCTCGCCGCCGCAGCCCGCAGGCTCCGGGACCGGCAACTCCCTCCTGCTGGGAGGCGGGGCGCGAGTGTGTCCCGGCCAGCGCCCCCCACCCACCCCCCGCCGCCACCTCGGAGCCCACCCTGCCGCGCCGGCCCTACCTCCAGAGCTTGCCCAGCGTCTTGCTGAGCTCGGCGTTGTGCAGGTGCGGGTACTGGTCGGCGAGCTTCCTGCGCGCCGCCTGCGCCCACACCATGAAGGCGTTCATGGGCCGCTTGACGTGCGGCTTGTTCTTGCTCGAGCCGTTGACGCGCACCGGCATGGGCACCAGCGTCCAGTCGTAGCCCTTGAGCACCTGGCTGACCGCCTCGCGGATGCACACGGGGAACTTGTCCTCCTCGCTCTCCTTCTTCAGGTCCGGCTCGCCCTTAGGGAACGTGTTCTCCTGGGGCCGCGTGTTCTCGGTGTCCGAGCCGGAGCCCGAAGGGCAGGGCGAGCCCGCCGAGTCCTCGGACATGGTGGGGCTGGGGGCGCCGGACAGGCCCTTCTCCTGCTCGTCGGTCATCTTCATGAAGGGGTCCAGGAGATTCATACGCAGGCCCGGGGCAGGGGGCGGGTGGCCGGGAAAGGCGAGAAGCCGCAGCGGCTCGGGGACTCGAGGCGCGGGCTCCTCTCCCCTCGGCTGCCCGGACGCGGAACGAGCGGCTCCCGGGGAGCCTGGCGCGTCACCCGGCTGCGGCAGCGAGCACTTGGGAAGGCGCGCGGTGGCCAGCCCGCAGCTGCCCGCTCCAAGTGGGGTAAGGCGAATTGGAGAGGAGGAGGAGGAGGGGAGGAAAGAGAGCAAAAGCGGGGCGCTTGCACCCCTTCTCTTCTCCTCCTGCAAAGAAAAGTTCCTGGAGTGAAACTGGCAAGTCGCGGCGCCACTGAAGTTTCCAGTGAGTTTCAAGCTCCGCTCTCAGCTCCTCGACTCTCAGCCCCGGGGCTCTTTAATAACTACTGCTCCTCACCTTAGAGACGGCCAGCCAATCACAGCGCGGCATTTCAGGGGTTGGCAGGCAGCTGATTGGTCTGGATTTTTCGGGGAGGAGGATTGTGGCACTGGGCTTGGGTGACGAGAGGGGAGGGGAGGAGCGGGGAGGGGAGCGCTGCCTCTGGTCTGGCGTGGGGGGGCGGGTGTGCAGCGGGGAAGGCGGGGGACCTGGGACGTCCAAGTGTGTAAGTTTGCCGTACTCTCGTAATGTCAGAAGTTTGGTGCCGTCTCCGCACGAATTTTGCGTGCGTGTGTGTTTGTGTGTGTGTGCGTGCGCGCGCGCGCGTGTGTCTAGACTAGGATCTCCCCCAAGCATTTCTTCTCACTGCTTTCTGCGCGGTCCCGGAGACTTAGCTGGAGTTTGGAGCGTTCGAAAAGCAGTCGCTCTTTACCGTGTAGCCCAGTTTATGCTCCCGGAGCCTGCCTCCTCCGAAAGTGCTTAGAAATGGTCTTTTGAAGCAAAGGTTTTGGTGACTCAACGTCCGCTGTTCCTCTGTAATAATCCATATAAATAGATTAACATGCTCTGGTTCGCCGGGGCTGGTGCGGCTGGTCGGGATTCTGCTGCGCTCTTGCAAGGGGAATCAATGAAGACCAAAGATAAATCCCCGCGGAGGCTGGCGGCGGCGACGCGGTAGCCCCGCGCTTGCGGGAGCCGCCCCGCGCCACAGCGACCTTGAACTCTGACAAGTCCTTCTCCAGCCCCCGGAGCCCCCAGCCCGCGGCCCTGCTCAGTGACAGGCAATTGCTTTTGACGTTCTGCTTTCACCTCCTGGCCGAATCCAAACGTCAGGAGGGTTGCCACTGGAAAGGGCTTGCAAACTGCTCTGGCTTGGAGAGATCGAACTTTGCGAATGTGGCCGTCCAGGGCCAGGAGGCTGAGGCCGGTCACTTGGTTTGTAAAAGGCCAGACACATGGGCACCACCGCAGACGAAACACTCCACTTTGGCGGAGTCGTGCAGCTCGCCTGTTTCGCCCTCCTTTACAAAACACCTGGAGGGGTGACGCTCGCGTCTCCCGACTGCCGTCTGGTCCTTCTCCGACTGGCAGACAGCTAGGAGTTCCAGGGGAGGGATTGGGGGGGTGTCCCTGATGTATCTCGAGTGTGATTTGAGCGCAACTTTTCTGTTTGCACCAACTGCCTTTAGTGCCCGGTTAGGTATCAGTTCTGGAAGAGAAGAAAAATCCTAGGCGTCTGCGGGTTACCTGTCTTCAGAATCACAAATAAAAGCACGACTGTGGAAATCTCCTAATTTTAAACTTCCCCCTTTCTGGCTCTCCCAGATGTCCGCTTCGAATTAAATGATTGTTGTGGTGAATCGGCCCACATCATAGCAAAGACTTGTTCATTTCTAATTTGCACATTACGGACACTATTGCAAGATTTAAAAGAATGTTTTCCTGGAAAAAAATTTTTTTAAAATCTCGTTTTCTCTTATTTTCTTCCAAAGAAGTCGACCTTTCTTTTAGAAAACGGAGCTCTTCAGAAGGTAGTTAAGTTGCAACTACAGTTAAATACTATTTACTTTTTAAACGGGTGTAACTCACTCACAGTGGATGTCTATAGTACCTTATAGGTTGTTTACAAGTTTTCGAGACCTGCGCCACGTACTCATGGCTCCGGGAATACGCTGGGAAAGTACAAGAACAACTTCATCCTTTCTTGGGAGAAAAGAGTCCCGCGTAGTATCAACTGATTTTTGTGTCGTGGGGAGGGGACATTTGTGAGTATAACTGTGTGATTCGTAGGCACCTGACCAAGGAGCACACTCAGAAACTAGAACTTCGGGCAGAAATTTTAGCCAAGACGAATGTGTTCAGTTGCATTTTATTGTAATTCTTGTGTTTACGGTCTTGAAGGCACTGAAGACCGTGACTTTAAGATACTTTCGAATATTTCTCTAAATATTTTTCAAGATAAATACATACACATAAATATATATTAAATGAAATTACGTTATAAGAGATACGTAATCTATAGAATTTAAAATCATGAATTTACAGCCTTTTGAACATTTTCTGTTCGTTTGATGCAAACACTTGGTATTCTTGTATCTTCTCGAACAGTGATAAACAATCAGTTGACTTTTTAAATGGCGCAATTTTCAGCTGCATCCAGAGAGGGCGCCAAAAGCCCAGAAACTGTTTCACTAGCAGAAACTGCCGGAAAACTTAGATGATGGTGGGGGATGGTGGTGGTGTGCTCCACTCCATCAGGACTGTTTTGCCGCTGAGATTTATCTCTGCAGAAATTCCTACTTGATATTTCCTCCCGTTTGGATTCACCTCTGGGCAGCCCAGTTAGAGGAACTGGGAGGCGTGTGTCTTACAGGGGACCTGGCAAGAAAAGAGCGCTCAAGGTGCCTGACGTTTCTAGTCTGCACGGGACGGGGAGGCTGGGTCCAGGAAAAAGACCCCTGCCTCCCAGAGAGCAGACATGGCCCTCTGCTCGTGCCAGGGCCAGGGCCAGGCCAAGTCTGACTCGTGGACACCCTTGATTAGTCCCTGTATCTCTGCAGGGGTTCTGGTGCTAACTCCCCCACCCCCCCACTCAGGGATTCGGTTCGGTTCGGTTCGGTGTGAGCTTCTCGGGTCACCCCTGACCTCTCTTGCCTGCCCCAGGAAGACGCTCGCGGCCCACGACCCGAGGACCCGTGTCAGAGAGAGCCAGAGGGAAAGGAACCCATTCTCGGTGTTCAGGTTCCAGATCGGGAAACTGAGGTTGTTGACTCTGTACCAGCCAGAGCATTCTGCCAAGAGCCCAACGCGTTTGGCTCCTCATGGTGGTGGGGATACGGAAGGGAATGGGCGCAGGTCAAGAAAAAGGGCAGGCAGCGGAAGGTACTTCCCCAGTCTGCGACGTGCATACCGGTCCCCGCTCTAAGCAAGAGCCTCGAGGTCTGCCTTGGGGAGCGGAGACTTGGAGGTGCGAGCAGATCCCAAGGCGGACCTCGCGAAACCGAGGTCCGGGATCACCGCCTCCCTCCTCACCCCTCCCTGCCTTCAACGACTGGGGCCGGCGCCGGGTTCAATTTCCCTAGTTTGGGCCGCCAAACTCCCTCGGCGTCTACGCGGGCGCGGAGTCCAAAGCCCGGAGATGTTGGCTTACAGCGAGTTTCGTGGGCCATCTCCGGATGGTGGTGTGAACACATCGCACAGGGGGGTTTCCATCTCCAGATGGCGGTGGACGGCGTGGGCGAATGGGGTCCCCTTCGCCTGGGGGAATTGGGGACCATAATTCCCTTTCCAAAATTTCTTAGCAAAAGTGGGGAGCGTGTCTAAATCCGTGTTCAGCAGGGGTGTGTGTCCCAGAAAAATTCAGCTGGGTTGAGCAGCAGAGTCTCCTGCAGATCTCACCCCCGGAAATGTCCTCTGTAGAGGTGCTTAGGGGACTCGGTTTCTCTTCTGTCAATTCCCTGGAGCTCGGTTCTCTTGCAAGACCCCAGTCCCTGAGGGTGGGATGGGGGTGGGGTAAGGGTGGGGGGGGGACCCTGTGGTTCCCGAGTTCTCTGCTCCCAGCGGCTCCTCGGTAATTAGTACATTTCACCAGGGGGGAGCGCATTTGCCGGTCGCTCTCCAGGCCGGACACCGGTTCTCTAGGGAGAGAGGCGGCGGGTAAGCCCTCGTCTCAGGACAGAGCATGGGACCGAGAGCAGCAGCACAAGGAAAGGGCCAGGTAGCTTCGCAGGTGCGCAGTAAATATCTGTGGACCGCCAAGTAAATGCGACCTTTGGACATTTTGCCCCAGTGGGCGTGGGACCCGTCGCAGGCCTCCAGGGCTCCCAGCAACAGGACCATAAACGCACGCGACTGTATAGTCCTCCATGTGTATCTCTCCCCAGACCCGCGCCCTACTTTGGGAGATTACCAGACATGGGTCGCCTAGGACCATAGAGTCCCAGCGCCCCCTGAAACTGTAGGCCAAAAAGGGCTTTCTTTTCTTCCCTTTTCTGTTTTCTCACAGAAAAAGGAATGAGGCGGAAGAGAGGTGCTGGGTAAGGGAGGCGTGAACCTGCAAAGTGCTCTAGGGTGACCTGGCCGGGTTGTGGGGCCGCGGGCGGCTGGGGCCCAGCGGGGCGCCCGGGGGGTGCGGACCGGAGCCAAGCAGGAGGCGGGAGTTGCTGGCTCAACCTGGACTGACTAGTGGAGGGGACTGGGGAGGGATGGGAGTAGGAAGTCCCAGTTCCAAAGGGACTGTGCTTCCAAAGGGAGAGAGAGAGAGAGAGAGAGAGAGAGAGAGAGAGAGAGAGAGAGTGTGTGTGTGTGTGTGTGTGTGTGTGTGTGTGTGTGTGTGTTTCCCCCTTCCTTTTCTGAAAATACCAGTCTTTTAGGCAGGGAACCACGCGTCGTTCAGATTCCCTCAAAGCTTCCTTAGAACAGCCTGGAAATTTCCTTAGGCCAAATTTTACTTTTTCCCTGTGCAATTTTCCTCTTTTTAAAAAATCTTTCAGGCATTTTCATTTGAAGGTGCTTTTGGCCTTGCTGATATAAAAATATAAATAAAGTGCTCAGCGCAGTCCATGGGGCCAGGGGGCTCCCTTCAGCACCAAGAGCTTCCTCCTTAGTTCTCCGGGGTCACACCTGTGCCTCCTCCTCCCCTCCTGTTCCCTTTGGGCCTGTGCAGCCCCAGGGAGGACTTAAGCGGAAAAGAGCGGAGATTCTCGGGATAGTTTTGTGTGGTTCTCTCAGGGTAGACTGGCTTATGGCGGGGACTTCATCTCAGGCTGAAGGGACTATAATCAGCTACTCCCACTAAGATATCGTAGCCAGTGGGTTATTCCGTCG